CTCCACAGCTGTGTGGCACCTGAGAGACAGTTGCTCTTATCCCCCATTCCTTTTTTTCCAGAATAATTTTAGGTGGTAAAATTAATCTATCTCTAATTGAGATATCTTTTTCTACTTGAAGTGCAAAATGACATCCAACTCTTGGTTTCTGACATGTTTGTACCCACGTGGAGCTTTGTCTTGACATTTCTATGACATCACACAGGACATGTTTGTTTCTATAGTTTAATCTGTACATTTCTTAGATCACTTTCCAAAAGTCAGGCTGTTGCTGTATAATTCACATTTAGTCAAATTCACCCTTGAAAGTTTTCCAGTTCTCTGAATTTTGGTGAAATTTTGCATCACCCTCGAATGTTCCCTCATACCCCTCTCCCCACAACCAGGCCCTGGCACTTCCGATCCGATTTCTGCCCTTAGGACAGTCTGCAATTTCTATTCTGTGTTTTCATAATTTATCCTGGGATACATCTCTGCACCAGGCAGGATCCAGCTTTGTATCCTTCTAGTGCCCAACATGACACCGGGCACCTAAAAGTTGCTCAGTGAATAGATGCTGAATAAATGAACGGATCACTTGTTATTTAGAGTCTCCCAAATTATATTGAGGACTCTGCTCTCTGATTTCCAGGATGTGCCATTTGAAAAGGGGCTATTAATGTTGGGAAAAACTTTCTCCTAGAGTTTTAATTTATACAGTCTTAAAAAAAAATGAGACATAGTGGTTTCCAACTGCAGAGATTGTACTGAGCATTTTAAACATTTCCTTAGACTTGGGACTTACAACTTTGTTTGCTCAACCAGCATGCGATGCTCTACCCTCTCAACCTGAATAAACAGATGGAAATAAAGTCTGGGACCAAAGGCAGCTGCTGCTCTCCCCCCACCCCTCCCTGTCTGCCCCCATCTCTGATCCTTCTGCTTCCATGGCATGACCCAGGCTCTCATCCAAAGCTCCCTTGATTAAGTTCTATGAGATTCCAGACCCACTTCATGGGCTGGAATCTGACATCTGGAATCAGATCTGAACCCTCTCATCATGCAGGGTGTGGCCCTGTGGAAACCCACCTGCAGCTGGCTTATCAGTCAGGCTTAGAGTCCCTTGGTTCACCTGATCTGATTCCTCTTTTATCTTGTTGTGAATCAGAAAATTGACCTTCCCAGAGCAATTACAAGAGGCAGTGACCAGAATTCCCCTTGCCTGACCAGTTGTGTGAAATGGCCTCGTCCTCGAAGAGAACTGCCCTTTCTTGAAAGGGGTGGCGTTTTCCTCCAGCCTGGCCTGCTAGCCCAACCCAGATGGGTCCCTATGTATTTTCTGTGGGCTGGCAGTCTCCTGCTGTGCCCTCTACCCAGCTGGCAAAGCCCAAACAGCACAGACACCATGGAAGTCCACATTTTCCCAAGGTTGCAGCTTGCCTCCAATAGGAATTCTTGATGCTGGCATCAAATTGCACCAGAATGGAGCCCCATTCCCTCTCTTCCTCCTTTGCCCCCACACTTTGCCCTATGAGTTCCCTGGAGCAGCTGTTGGTGGCAATGCATTTTGTAAGCCTGTATCCTGCCAAACCTTTCAAGGTGTAAACTCCTGATTCAAGGGAGGGGTTCTATGACATGCTGCTCAAACAAACCACCAAAAAAGGTGTTAATTTTGGATGCATGGGATAATTGTGTAGCTCATAACCCCAGATAAACCATTACTCAATGGAAAGGAGCGGAAGAAATTCCTTGTACAGTAATGATGACAGGTGTGTGTGTATGGGAGAGAAGTGGGTGACTGGGGATGGAGACGCTTCAGAAAAAGCGAAAAACAAAAGGGAGAGGTGGGGGGGAAAGAAAGTCAAAGCAGAGGAAAGCTTACATTTTGCATGAAGATCTTCTACACCCGTGACTATCAAACTCTTGTTTTACTATTACCGTAGTAGGAAATATATTTTACTTCGTCTCTCAGGGTGATCGCACACAGATACACGGATGTATAAGATAAAACAAAATAAAACTGTGTAGAGCTGGCTACAGGCATGGGAAACTTATTTCTATTGTACGTGTGTGTGTATCCGGGGGGTGCCCCGCGAGCAGCCCCGCGCGGTGGGGTCGGGTCACTCCAGCCGCCCCAGCCGGCAGGCTTCGCGGTCGCCGCCCTGAGCGAGGTTGGAGGGCGGGCTGGGCGCCGCGGGGGCGGGCGGGGCGCGGCCGGTGGCTCTCGGCCGCAGCACCCGCGGTGGCGGTTCCCCACACGGTGCGGGATGGAGACGGAGGAGCAGGGTTGCGTGGCCGCCTGGTGGGACATGGTCCTGCGGAACCTGCGGTGAGTGCATGCCGCCAGCGGTCGGGGCCCTGTCCGCCCCGGGAGCGCCGGGACAGCTCGGGCTGCCAGGGATGGGGCAGAGGGAGGGGACGGGGGGTACGGGGCAAGCGGAGGGCACAGTCAGGCTGTGACCAGGGAGCAATGGCCCACCTTGGGCACAAGGGCGGGCAGGGGGGCTTCGGAGGCCCAGGGCTCTGTGAACCCCGGGGATCTTCGGGCAGCTCTTTATCCTCAGCCTCGGCCCCTACCCTGGCCAGCAAGACACCATGTGGGTTTGAGATTTTAGGAACTTCGAGATTCCAGAAGGATGGCTCAGGTTCCTATAACAATCTCTTATCTGCCTCCATGATTTTACTAAGATGCAGAGCAGATTTAAAAATAATAGTGGCAATAATCATCTATGTTGTAGTCTTGGATGGCATCCTTTTAGATCAAGGGCCTATTTGGTAGATGAAAAGGATGGGAAAGCCAGCTTCCTGCGTGTGAACTCTGTGGCATTATTTAAAGAACAAACCCTCCTCCCCAATGTTGAAGATGAATAATAATAGTACATTGAAACCATAACCTGGAATTTCCTGTGCCACGTTGTTACTTCCTTTAAATCTGAAATGTCTATGTCAGTGGGTTTTTCAGTTTTCTTCCTCCCATGAATCCTTGGCTTAAACAGTAGTCTAAAAACGACCTGAATCGAGAAGCAATATATTATTACCATTCTTGTTTACAATGAAGCCAGGGATTGGTTGGAGACAGTGGGCCCAGGAACTTGGGTATTTTGTTTTGTTTTGCTGGTGTGGGAAAGTGTTGGCATTTTTGTTTACCTTTCTTCTTGCTGTTCCTTTGTTTTTAATTTTTGCTGACGACAAGATATCCAAGAATCACATCCAGACCCAGGAGACTTCACTTTGAAATGTCTGAGTGGTGGAGACAAACACCAATCTTCTCTCTTCTATTCCATCTGTAGCTCAGGGCAGGGAGCAGAGAGCAGCTCTCCCCTGGCCCAGCAGTGTGGCCGCACCCCATTCTGTGCTGGATCTGACCACCAGTCAGATATCCTGACTGTACTTTTCCAGTTTTACATTCGGGGGCCTTACCTTCCTGATACAGCTAGCTGACCTGGGAAAGCTGGCATTTACTGCCTTTTTTATGCTCTCTGTGGCGCTGATGGCTGATCATTTAACATTTATTTGGCAGAGACTCAAAGCTGCGGTTCATGCTTTTAGAGAACTTTGTTGGTAACAGAATGGGAGATGGGGAGTTGGGGACCCTCGATTACTTGTCTTACTAATTACTGAAAATTAAGCCTCAAGAGATGCTTCTTGAACGAATAAAATACTAGCGCATTTCTTCATCTGAACAGAAAATGACTGATCTAATTTAAGACGTGCTGAGGCTGAGGCGCAGACCGATATCCAGCAGCCTGGGTCCTTTTTGTTTCTTGCAGCCAGGTTCGTTTCGATCAGCACACCTTCATGGAGGGCTTGCTGCGCGCCCTTTCTTTCAGCTTCAACCTGTGGCTCAACCAATCTGTACCGAGCGTGTTCCTGTGCTAGACTCGGTGGACTGTAAAAGCAGCATTATATGCCCAGTGGTTCTTGCCGTCTGAGGCCTGGGCTAGAGTTGGAAAGACAGGGATAATGGTGGGAAAACAATCAGGGAACAATTAAAGGTCAAATTGAGGCCCCGATTCTAATTAGTGGGAGGGGTGAAAGGAGGAGAAAGGTCACATGGGAAGATCTGTCTAGAGAGGCTTTGACAAAGCAGAGATGCGCGCGCGCGGATGTGAAAGAAGGGGAAGATTTGGTTGGGAGGAAAGAAGAGGGGAGGACGAGATGTAACTTAACGCTTGGTGATCAATATGTGTTGGCTGAACGAATGGGCACAGAGGGTGGATGTACAGCCTGTCTTCATATTTGGAATAGCTCTCTTGCCAAATGTGGTTAGAGTAGACACCTCTCTGGTTAGAGGTAGATACCCGAGCATGAGGCATGCGTGATTTGCCCTGTAGCAGCTCAGGCTCCTCCAGTCGTCTCCATTAAGAGCCATCCAGTTAGGTTCTGTGGCCCCTGTGGGATGCTGTACAGTTAAAGCCACAGCTGATCAAAGGGCAGGCAAAGGAACGCCAGGGCATCGAGGTGGCTGTTTGATGTGGCTGGCTGTTAGCAGGGAGCGGGCTAAAACTGCAGCCTCTGCTCAAATAAGGTCCATTAGCCACTGGTGACTTTTGATATCCTACTGATCTAGGGGGAGTCAAATTGATAAGCCCTAGTTAAAAGAAGCCGCTGTGCATTATTGATGCTCCAAGGGGTCCGGTCACTCTGTTCTCTTCCCACAGCTCTTCTCACAGAAGTACCTTGAGCTATTTCAGAGAAGGGTCCTGCATGAATTATTCTTTAAAAACAGAAACATATTTCCTTCTATTGCCTCTGCCTCCCAAGCACCCCGCTACCTTCAAAAGATAACTGAGCGGGAGCCTAACAGGTGGGGTAGCCTGAGTTCAGAGAGTTAGGAGAAAACAAGAGGGAGCCGGCTAGCTGGAAGGAAGCGGGATTCAGCTTGTGCTCAGTTCTGCCCGTTCTGGCTTCCTCTGTGGCTCAAAGCGGCTTCTCTGGGTTTTGATTTTTTATTTCTAAAATCAGAACAATGCCCTCTCCTTTCTCCCACCTTCATGGAGGCTATTTTAAAGTATTATGCAACAGTCATTTTCATTTCTTTCCTGATTTCATGAGTAGGCAATTCTCCATATCTGATGTATTTGAAGGGCTCTTCATTACCCTTAGGCCACGTATCTTTTCCACTCCCTGCAGAATTGCTGGAAATTCATCAGAGATTCATTATCTTCTCCCTTCATGCCTTTTCCAAACATGTATAAGCGCTCTGACTTTTAAGTTATTAACACTGGAGGGAGAAATTTTTTAGAGGTCTTTTTTCTGATACTTCAGTATCTGAAGGCTTCTGAGAATACAGGAGCAGGAACGGGGAAGAAAGTGGGCGGAGGAAGAGCCGCATCTTTCATGAGGGTTGACTGTCTCCTACCCTAGAGAACCGAGGGCTACAGGAAGTCAGCGTCACCGCTTCCTGCTTCCAATTTTTGTCCACATCGTCCATTAAATAAATCCCTTTCCCTATTGTGAGCAGTCAGTGTGAAGACAGCTCAATGTAATCAAATAGTGAGGTTAGGAAACTGGAGAGCATTTTTTTTTTTACTGTACATTTTTTTGGGGGGAGGAGGGTACAGAAGGGGACAAAGTTCCTCAAACAGCCATTTCTCTAAGAGGTAAAGTTTGCCAGAAATCAGTCTTGTTTCTGGGGTTTAGTTTTGCTTCGTGGATGGCAAGTTGAACTTACCAGGAATGTGAGAGCTCACTGGAGACCATCAGAGAACTTTGCGGTCAGACAGATCTGGGTACACATGGCTCTGCCATTCACTGGCTTTGTGACCTCGGGAAGATTCCTTAACGTTTCAGTCTCCTTAATGTTTCAGTCTCCTCATTTGTAAAGTACAGGTAATAATATTTATCTTCTAAAATGCTTCTGGTCTAGCAGTGAACCAGCGCAGGGAAAATGGTCCATCAAAAATGCTCTCCAGGGGCAGCCAGTTAGCTCAGTTGGTTAGAGCGCAGGCTCATAACACCAAGGTTGCTGGTTTAATCCCCGTATGGGCCACTGAGATGCGCCCTCCACAACTAGATTGAAACAACTTGGAGCTGATGGGTCTTGGAAAAACACACTGTCCCGACTCCCCCAAAAAATGTAAAGTAAAAAAAAAAAAATGCTCTCCAGTTTCCTAACCTCACGATTTGATTACATTGAGCTGTCTTCACATTGACAGCTCACAATAGAGAATGGGATTTATTTAATGGGTGATGTGGACAAAATTTGGAAGCAGGAAGTGGTGACGCTGACTTCCTGTAACCCTCGGTTCTCTAAGGTAGGAGACAGTCAATCCTCATGAAAGATACGGCTGAGACAGAGGCGGCATTAGTGATCCCTCATGGACAAATCATAACTCGTCTGCTGATGGCTCTCGGTTTGGGTGATTTGTGTCACAGGGAACAGTAGGATAAACAAGATGTGCGTGGCCCCACTAGGTCCCACTCCCTGACCAGGCCCCACCCTGCTGTAGCCAACCTCCGGGTCCTGCCCCGCTCCCCAGCCTGCTCCATGGTCCCTCTCACCAGGGATGTCACATCAGAAGTGGGGGTTTTCTCTCATTCGCTCATTTCTTCCTAAGACCCAGCAGGAAGAGTGGGGATCTGATGGTTATTCACTCACTGCTTTAGACTAATAATAATAATTAATAACAATGACACATACAACACTGAACTGTGATGATGAAAAACTGTGGCAAGTGTGAAATCGAATCCTGTTTCCTGATACCTTTGGGTTCCAGCCTTGGCCTTCTATGGGGCTACACTGAGGGCAAAAGCCTGACTCTGGTGCCCCCACATTCCCTCCCCTCCTGTCCTGTCACATTTAGGCTTTTTCAGCAGCTGGTTGGGGTTCTGCCCACATATAGTTCTGTACATGCTTAAATGCCAAGCTACCTGGAATTCCCTTCGTTAGTCTCAGAAATTTGATTTGAACCTTAAGAGAAAAAAAACAAACCAAGACAAAACCTGGACTAACTCTGAATCCCTTGTTTGTTTCACACTATCTTGCAGATCTATTCCACAGCGCTGTGCGGCCCTCGGAAGAAAAATCACCGCTCAGTACAACAGCTTTCGTAGTAAATCACTAAAAGAACACATTTTCCCTCCTCTGATGGACATGCTAGTTTATTTTAATTTTTGTAAGTATATATCCTTCATGAATTTGCCTATATATTTTTTTCCCAAGTAAAGAATTCACTATCCTTGAAGTTGTGGTACAACGAAAAAGACATCAGTTTTAAAATTGTGGCTAAACGGTCTGAAACCTACTGAATACTGACTTCGGGGACTAGCACGAGTCCTTGCAATCTGTTGGAGGGAGAAAGACTCGGCCTTGTGGGTAGAGTGTGAATTCAGCTCAGTCTTCAAATCAGCTATGAATATGAATGTCTTACTGCTTACTGTATTCTCTTTTTTACTTCCTCTTCTTACCTATATCCCTTGAAAGAGTGAGAGAGAGATGCTGACGGTAGGACGCTCCATTCCCATGTTTTTTCCTACTGAGGGCTGTGTTAGTCAATGTGGTACACAGTCCTCCAAGCACATGAGTAACTGTCCTCAGGGGTGTGTTTATCCCGGGCATTTTATGGCTTATGGCTAATAATTAGGTTTCACTTACAAAAGTATCGCTTGACAGTAGCAGAACACTCATTACTTGTTCTAGATCATCTTACCTTTCTAGGAGAATAGTCTTCCCTGCTTTTAGCTTGAGATAAGGAAAAGGATTGAATGAATAAACTCTATTATGAGCTACTAGACTGGCGCTATTTTAAACAACTCTTCTGTGGAGTAGTTCTAGTTTATAAAATAAAATACTTTGCTAAGATTTTAGCGTAGTAGCCTGCAATTGAGAAATGTGTTAACCATAAGGCTAATTACTTTTTTTGTTTTTATTGTGATGAAAAGACCTGGAATTTGATTCTGGGAGTTGATAATGATTTCTGCTTTCCAGTCAAAGCACCGTTTCTTGTGGATTTAAAGGACCCAGAGTTAAAGATTCCTCACACAGTGAACTTCTATATCAAAGTTGAGCCTGGGGTGATTCTGGGAATCTGGTAAGTGCACTTGGGTGGACATTGGGTTGCTTGATGGACGTGGTTTTCATGTTTCAAAAGCAAGGTGAGCAGTGCTGTGTTACTTGCCTGTGGAGAGGTTGGTGTCCCTTGGAGGCACCTGGAAGCTGTTCTATACACCTTCCCTTTGTATTGGTATTTGATCTGCTTGAATTTGCTTTTTAGGAACTTTACTTTAGAATGTGATGACTTTTAGGTGGTGCCTTGTGCTTTGGGTCTTTCACCAGGTCTGAAGGATCCGGCCCCAGCCCCCGCTCCTGCTTTCTTTTCCACACCACCCTTCCCACTCTGCTCCAGACCCACTGGCCTCCTTGCATACACCAAGCCATCTCTCACAGGACCCACTCTGTCTGCGACATTTCTTTCTCTCTCTGCTTCTTCTGTTTCTGCCTTCTACCTTATTAACAGCCTATTCATCTTTTGGGTCTGATTGGTAATTTTCAGGGAAACCTTTCTTCATTCCCATTTTAGGTATATGTTAGTGGCAACCTGTGCTTGTCTTTTATGGCATTTATTCCCATTGGAATTAAATAAATGTTTGTGCGCTTATTTGGTTAATGTTTTTCCTCCTTGCAAGCCTGTATGCTCTATAGGTGGCTTTGTTGGTGGGTTTTCATTGCTTAGCACAGTGCTTGGCACAGAGAAGCCATTCGATATGTATTTGTCAAATGAAGTCAGGAGCATTCTGTTGTCTTTTTTGCTATGCTAATCTCAATATTTCCTTCTGTCTGGTTCTACTAGCTCTTGGCTGCCAATTTTCCAGTGCCCTGTTTTACATTTCATCTTCCCGAGTTTAAACATGTGATCATAGAATGTTTGGGCTCACATAATTTCCTCCTAATCTGCAGGGTATAGTTCAGCTAAGAATGCTGGAATTTGAAAATCTCTGTATTTGCTCTTGCCCCGTTGGTCCTTGGTTTGGTGAGTCCACTGGTAGCTGACTTATCTAGCTGGCACGATGCCTGTCTTCTCAGTACAGAGGCCCTGGGGTTTGATGTCAGACTTGCTGCCCCTGAAGGTTGAGAGGACTGAAGACTTGTCATCATGTAGCCAGTTCTCCAAGTCACCTTATGACATGTCATATGGCTTGTTTATATTTTTGGGGTTCATTCACTGGATTAACAAGGTGGAGGAAGTGGAGCTCAGACAGGTGTTTAAAATCACAAGGTCACTGGGTTTCTTGAGCAGAATAGCTTAGTTTCGTGTTAAAGTTCTTTTCTTCTACCTAAACTGGTTTCCTTTTTTTTTTAAAGATTTTATTGGGGAATTGGGGAAAGGGAACAGCGCTGGGGAATCGGGTGAAGGGAAACAGACAAGTCGCTGTCCTTTTGTTCTTCAGTCTAGTTGTGGAGGACGTTGCTTTGCTGGCCCATGTTGGTATTATCATTGCACTCTTCCCGGGTGAGGCAGATCAGTTGCCGGCTTCTGGACGGCCGCTCACGGCAGCTGCTGAATGCTCACGCTGGCTGCTGGCTACACACGGTAGCCTGTGGCAACCCACTGCCACAGGGGCTGCAGCCTACGCCGTCGCCGGTGACCCACAGCAGCCCAGCTCCAGGTTGAGCTGTTGTTCAGCATCTTAGCTGTGGAGGGCAGCGTCACTGGCCCTCACATGTGGGATCTGAACCGGGGCCCTCTGGCATCCCAAGCCAGCTCTTAACCATCGCGCCACTCGGCTGGCCCAAGAATTGCAATCTTGATGATTATTAGGTGTAAGAGTCAGAACTAAAACAGTAAATGGTTAAAAGGGGTCGTCTCTGCATGGGGGAGGTCAAACAGAGCAATAGTGGTTTTCATTATAGGTGTTTTGTGGTATTGTATTTGAATTTTTACCATGTGCATATATTACTTAGATAAAAAAATATAAATTTATATAAAATATACTTACCTAAATAAACATATCAATCAATCTGTCTATCTGATTGAGGTAAGGGGTGTTTCAAGCTGTGGAAAGGATAGAGAATTCTTCTCTCTGTACATGTTTGTTAAAAACTTCCCTTGCTCTTCAGGCACACAGTCCCCAGCTTCCGGGGGGAAGACGCTAAGGGGAAGGACCGTTGCTGGTATGAAGCTGCCCTTCATGATGGCAACCCAATTATAGTGTATCTTCATGGCAGCGCAGAACACAGGTCAGTGTCTTTCCCTGGACTTTTTTTTTTGAGAGAGGCTGAGGGCATTTCAGTTGTCAGAGCGTGAAAGGCAGGGCGCAGTTTTCAACTCTGTAAGCATGCCTCCACATACTTTTTTTCCTTGTTTCAATTTGAGGGTGTTCTGGCAGTGCTTCTCTTTTTAAAAATCTATATATTCTATGTATAGAATAATGTGGATCCTTAACTGAGAGGGACACTAACTTCCGAAATGTGGATACTGATTTCAAAGAAGGCAATGGTTCCTTTACCCCCTAAGAGTATCTGAAATGATGGATTGAACCCACGGATGACTGGAAAGGGAACAGACGTGAGATAAGGGAAAAGGAAGAGCGGGTTTCATATCAATGATATTTTCACCAAACTACGTGAAGATCCCTTTATGTAGCGTCAATCCTGTTAATCAGAAGTATGAACTCCCTACGAGAGATCACCTGGAATTCTGGCCATCGGTACTGGGAACCTTCTGACTAATTCCAGTCTAGGATACTAATGCTTCCTCTTACTCTCTGCGGCCCCAACCTTGCTTTGTAACAAAGAATGCCTCCGAGAAGTCTGGCTCTCCTTTGATGTGCTGCCAGAGCCTTCCATGGGCCTGTGTGATTGCGGTGGGTGATGATTATCAGCTCTGACTGCCCCTCTTCAGTTTGGGGGAGGGGAGACGTGCCTCAGAGACCCACAGACCTTGGGACTCTGTCTCCGGAGACACTTTAAACCAAATGACAAGCTCTGGAATCTGCTCCTTGGCTCCCTTGCCTATGTCTCTTTTTCTCACTGTCTTTTTCTGTCAGATGATGGCTTCCTCAAGACTTGTCTTTGTTCAAAGGGCTTTCTTGACGTGTCCATGTTAGAGTCACATTTACAGAGATTTCCTATGAATTTAACATTTTCTAACATTGTTTAACATTGTTCTGAAATAGTGCAAACTTGGGCAGGGTGCTACAATGTACTTCTTTAAAGGACCTTGTGGTTCCCACATTCATGGCTGCCCCTCTGTGTGGGCATTGTCCTCAGTTATCACATAGTTACTGGCTTTGGGTTTGGCACCAACTTCCTCCTGTCCCCTGCCCAGAAGTCTCAACATGCTATCATCTGAACATGCTGAGCTGAAAAGGAGGCCAAATGGGAGGTTATGGGGAACCTTGTTAAAACAGTAGTTCTAGACTTGGGGTCCATAAAAGCCCTAGAGAGGCCATGAACCCCCTCGCCAAAACTGTACATAAAATTTGAAGTGTGAATACATTTTTTTTTCTGGGAAATGGGTCCATAGCTTTAACCATATGTTCAAAGAACTACATGACCCACTAAAGTTTAAGAAACTTGGCTCTACGACAAAATTCAAATGGTTTTTTAATCCGCTGCCTTTTGAATCATCTTTATCTCTCTTTAGTAAAGTAGTTAAATAGTGTAGACAATAGGGCTATTTTGGGGGAAACATGTTTCTTGTACCTTCAGGGCTGTGAGTCTCTGTCCTGCACTTCACCTTACGCTTAATGGCACAGTGCATAGGCTCCAGGAAGATCTGAGTTTAGTGAACAAGACTATATTATCCTTGGTTCTGAAAAGACACTTTCTGGAGCTTATTTTCACTTAGCTTCCAAAAGTATTGTTAGAAATAAGTTTTGCTGTGTGGAAGGGGAAGGATTCAAATGCTTATTCTTCAAATGCTTATGTTGAGCAGCACTAGAGAGCTGGGATCCAGGACTCACTCAGGGGAATGAGGCAGCAGTGAGGAGCCGTCAGTCATTCACCTTGACACATCCAAGTGGGTTGTGACACCACAAAAGTTCCCTTCCTCCTAGTTATTTATTTCTCTAACCTGAAAAAGAAGGGTGTGAGATCAGATGCCAGCAGCATGATAGTGATTTTTATTGAATTTGTCATCCCAATTCCTAATTCTCACTCTCTCTCTTTCTCTTTTTTAACTTTTTCTACAGGGCAGCTTCTCACAGGCTTAAACTAGTTAAGGTATGTCTGAAGGGGCCTGAGGGCACCAATTTTGTCTCCATTTATTCTCTTCTGGGTTACAACCATAAGATCTTCCTCAGCCCTCAGCATGGTTATCTACTGAGAGCTCCCCAGAGTGGGTTTGGTGTCTGGGGCCCCAAGTCCCACAAATGGACTTCTCTTCTCGCATTGACCATGGGGGAATCAAAATAGGTGTGAACATCTAAGTCACAAAACACTTTCATGAATTTGTTACCTTCATCACCAGATGGAGTTGCAGACATGCTTGTTGCTTTTTCTTAGGGATGTGGCACGGGTGGAAGAGAATATATACTAAGTATGAAAGTCACGCCTACAAGAGAAACCTTTTTTTTTGTGATACAGGATAGAGACATAGAATGTCTTTTTTTTTTTTTAATTTTTGTTGGGGAACAGTGTGTTTTTCCAGGAACCATCAGCTCCAAGTCAAGTACTTGTTTCAATCTAGTTGTGGAGGGCGCAGTTCAGCGGCCCATGTGGGGATCGAACCAGCAACCTTGAGCCTGTGCTCTAAACCACTGAGCTAACCGGCTGCCCCTAGGATGTCTGCTTTTGAAAGTCATTCAGGCCCTGGCTTCTGCTCCATAAAAGGTTTTGCAGAGGGGGATGGTGGCCGCACTTTGCTTTCCTCACTACCCTGCTGTATGACTCGATTGTTGGGGCAGCCCCTGCATTTCCAAGTGTGACGGAGATGGCAGGCTCTCCTCCTAGCCAACTCTGACTCAGAGCAGGTCAGGCAAGCTACCTGTTTATCTCCTCCCACACTCTCATTAGTAATCTCTGACTCAGGTGACCAGGCGGCTTGCCCAGTTCTTGGCCACAGGATGTGATCTCTCCTCCCACGTGGCAGCCACCCCCCAGCTCTTGCCTGCTTTAACAGTATTAGTGGGGCCCAGAATGCCGCAAGGCCAGGTATCCCCAGCACCTTCTTCATCCTCCCTCCCCCGTTCAGCCAGGATGCTCCTCTTCCATCACTGCCTTGTCAGAGTGGACTCTGGCGGAGCAGTGGCGGGCTGGATGCTGGTCTGTCTAGGATGATGCCTGTTAAGTTTTGGGTTTGCTTTCCATCCTGCATCCCACTCTTTGCACTTCCCACGGGGGATGGTGGTGAAGCTGATGGCTTTGAGAACACGTAGTTTTTTCTCCTCCCACTCTTAGCAAAGCTGAATTGAATGTCCCTTATGTGCACAGGAAGGAGAAGAGTTGGTGTAGGTGTGAAAAGTAGCCAGATCATCCTTGTGGTAGTTGGGGTGGGTGGGAAGGTATGATAAGCCTTCCTCCCCGGGCAGATACTGGATACCACTTACCACTTACCATCGTTTCGCGGCCTGACCAAACTTCTTTAGCCCTTAATTTTCTCCTTTGGATAGGTGGTTTCTTTTAAATAATATTGCTACAGAAAACTTGAATCATGTAGTTGATTTTTCTTTGGGAATTTTTTTCCTAGAGATAAATTCTTAGGAGTAGGGTCTGTTGCTGTTGTTGTTTTTGAGTTGTATTGTCAAATGGCCCTTCAATTGACAGTCCCACAGACAACACACAAAATTCCCATTTCCCTGGATGCTTAACTGCCCTGTTTCTTGGATAACTTTTTTTATTTGGAGGGAATGTAGTTTAAATGGATATTAAAAAGTTTCATTTAGTTCCTCATTATGAGTTCAATTTTTTTGAAAGTTCCTAATGAGATTTCAGCCACCCACATCTACACTGTGGGGGAGGAAAGCACAGCGTTTGGACATATGCAGATCCCGGGGTGACTCGTGGCTCTGCCTCTAACCATCTGGGTGACCATGAACAAGTTACTTATACTCTCCAAGGCTCAGTTTCTTTATCTGTAAAATGGGGATAATACCTACCTTATAGGACTATTGTGAGGATTTAGTTTTTAAAGTGTCTGCACAGTAAATTTTGTCTTTTTCCCCTCTCTCCTTTTTGTCTATCTTTGTAACTCATTTCAATTAAAATTATGTTTTCATATTCTTTCCTCATTTATCTATGTGGGGCTTGGCAATGGTTTCATATACTCCAGTGATCTCTTTATTTCTGATTGGTATTACCTCTTTATCTGTTGATATTTAATATAAGTACCTTCCGATTATTAGATTGCCTCTACTACAATTCTATGTAGTTCTTATTCTCAAGGGAATTCTTAAAAAAGATAATTACTATGTACCAAGATATTTTAACATGTCATCTCAATCTTCCAACAATCCTGAAGGCAGCTTCTATAGTTTTTCAGTTTTCAGAATAAGCTTTACATATTTAAATGTGAAGTGGCTTGCCCAAGGTCACACAGCTGGGGAGTGCAGAGCCAGCGTGTGACCCAGGCTGCTGCACCCTGCTCAGCCACGCTGCTTTCCTTCCTTCCCATTGAGTCTGAGCTTCTCAAGACTGAAGTCAAACACACCGTCTCCTTACCTATTAAACCATCACAACTAGGGTTATGGAAGTGCTGAAGATGTTATGCCACCTTTTCTGTTTACATCTTCTAATAAAAGTGATAACACTTCCTTTGTCATTTAGGTGCTGAGTGATGGTGGCTTTCACATCTTGTCTGTTGACTACAGAGGTATGTGTTAAGAACAGTGTACAAAGATTTTACAAGAAGCAGGAGGCTTCTGATAACCCTCACTTTGGGGGTGGTGATACTGTTTGCCTTTCCTTGCTGCCAGGGTTTGGGGACTCTACGGGTACGCCCACAGAGGAGGGACTGACTGTGGATGCTATATATGTCTATGAGTGGACCAAGGCGAGAAGTGGTAACACGCCCGTATGTCTCTGGGGCCACTCTCTGGGGACAGGGTAAGTGGGGCCTGAAGATGGGTCCTTAGGTGGGTCCTTGGGGCTTTAGGTCACAGCAAGCAGTGGAGGAGCACTGATCTAGGAGACAGGGTCTCTCTCACTTCCTACATGTGGCTAGAGATCTTGCCATCTCAGTGGGTCTGTTTGTAAAACAAGGGAGGGTCCATTCAGACCTATGGTTATCTGTGACACTGAAGCCCATTCCAGAACTCTCCTCGAGAGTTTTAAAGAAAAGGATTCTTAACATAGGTTCGGTGGAACCCCTTGAAATCCCGTGCAAAATTTTGTGTTTATGTGCATTTTCTAACCAGAGGGTCCACAGTTTCTAACAGATGCTCATACTGGATGTTGAATTTTGTGCTATTTACTTGACTGTTAAGTCACTGCTTCACATATGTACTAATTTTCATTGCTTTACAGAGTTGTGACAAATGCTGCCAGAGTACTGGAAGAGAAAGGTACTATAAAATGCTGACATGCGATAATTCTTGGCTTGAGATAGGAAACTAAAAACAATCAAGAGACTATTGTGCACACTTTGAGCACACAGATACCTAAAGCACGCCAACTTAAGACAGTTTCTGATAGTGTGACAAACTTTTTTTCTCTATATTTAATATAAAACAATAGCTGCTTTTCAAGATTATAAAATTATAAACACACACTAAGGAAAGAGTTAAAACTACTTTTCAAAGAGTGCTCACTGTGAAGTGATAATAAATGTTATTATGGAGTAATCTCAATTATAGGAGAGGAAAATAATGCATTATGAAATAATAGGCAGGGCTTGCTCTCTGCAGCCCTTCTTACATAATATTTGTTAGCATTTCTAAAAGTATAAGAATCTCCTGGGGATGTGTTATTAAAACACTGGTTTCCTGGAGCCTAGCTATTTTCATGAATTAGAATCTCTATAAATAGGATAAGGTGATTTTGATGTGCATTAAAAGTTTGTAAACTCTTGCATATCCTAAACTTTACTGGGTAATACAGGTCAGGCTGAGTTATGTAAACATTTTAAAGCAAGTCACCTGCTCTACACAATCTTTAACTACTTATGTAAATAAACATTATTTCAATGCTCCTCTAACACACTTCCTTCACAGTGTTGACAAGGCTGTATTATCTGAACTAAATACATAAATGAATGCTGCACTTCCTAGATAATGCAATGACCTTGGAATATTTTAATTCCATTTACATCCTCAACTTATGAACTCTTGCTATCATGTATTTTAATTTTCTCTATATTACACACTCCATAAAACATTATTCTTATGTTAGAAAGTCAATATTTAGACTTACTCTTTTCTTTGCTTTTTACTAGTGCCAGCATTTTTGTGTTTCCATCTGGGATTTTTTGTTCTGCTTCTCTGCTTGTAAGAATTCTCTCAGTTTTGGTCTGAAAATTTATTTCATCTTCATTTTGAAGAATATTTTCATTAGACATAGAATCCTAGGCTGGCAGTAATTTTATTTCAATCCTTAGAAGATGTCATCCATTTCATTCCGGCTTTCACTGTTTTATTAGGAAGTCAGTTGCCAGTCTTATTATTGTTTCTTTGAAGATAATGCTTACTTTTTCCTCTGGCTGTTTTTTAGATTTTCTTTTTGTCTTTGTTCTTCATCAGTTTTACTATGATTTTCATAGGTGTGAGTTTCTTAGTACATATCCTGCCTTGGGTTCATAGCACATCTGAACTCTGTGGCTTGACGTTCATCTAGTTTGGAAAATTGTTGGTCATTGTATCCTCAGATATTGTGCCTGCCCCATTTTTGTCTTCTCCCCCTCTGGGACTATAATTGTATGTATGTATTTTTAGCTCTGTTCCCATGTTCTGTATGTCTCCAATGTACTTCTCTGAGTTTTCCAGACTTTTTCTCTTTGTGCTCTAGTTTAGATATTTTCTTTTGATCTATTACACAGTTCACTAATTCTTTTCAACTGATTCTAATCTGATGTTTAACTAGTCTATTGATTTTTTAATTTCAACTAACTTGTATTTTTCAGTTCTAGAATTTCTATTTGATTACTTTTTACAGAATTTATAGTTTTTGGCTAAAATTTTTCTTGTCTTTGATTTCTTGAATATATTAATCACTTAAATATATATTTAAATTATGTGTCTACATATGTAATACATGTATGTAAATATGTGTAAATAATTTTAGATGTGAGAATTTTAATACTTTAATATCAGTATAATAAAGCTTTAATAATTATTAAAATTTTAATAATTTTACTATTTGTTATTTACTATAAGTTATTTTAAAGTCCATATATAACTCCCAATATCTAGATCATTTGTTGATCTATTTGTATTATTGGCTTTTTAAAATTTGGGTGGGGTACCATTTTTGTCTTTATTATGTTTAGTTATTTTTAATTAAGTGCTAGACATTATTTATGGAAAATTGTAGACATAATTTGAAGCTAGGAGTGATGTTATCTTTTTCTAGAAAGAATTAATTTTTCTCCCGAACGGCAGTTATATTAGGGGGAGATCACCTTAATCCAATCAGAGATAGAGCTGATTTTAAGCTGGCTTTTAGTTTTTATGAGGGTTGGTCTATTTCTAGTTCACCATTACTCCCAAGGTGTTGTCCTTTGAGGTCATAACAAAAGCCTGCGAAATTTACTAAGGCCCTCCTTCTTCTCAGATATTGAACTCTAATTTTGTATTTCTGGTCCTGTGAGAATGCTGAAAGTTGTGCCTAATTCTAAGCCTGTCAGCCACCATTGTTGCTTTCAAAGTTTCAACTGCTTTGAGGGGAACGGCAGCTCAAACTCTTGGCATTTTACTTTTGGCATTGGCTCTCCAAAATCTCACTGATTTAGTAACCTCAGGTGCTCTCAAACACAGACATATACATACACATATCCCCATCTGACACACATTTTCTGATTGTTCTCAGAGAAAATGTTGGCCAAAGCAACCTGCTCAACTTCTGGCACATTCTTAACAACAGACTGCAGAAGACTCTTCCTTCCTACCATACTTGGCTTTCTTAAATTATCCAAGCCATGACAATCTGGTTGTGTTTTAGAAGATGGCGGTTTGCAACTACTGTGTGCATGGAAATCTCTCGTGTGGGTGTGTGGGAGCTTGTTAAAAATGCACATTCTCGCTTCCCTCATCCCCTGAGATTCTGAATTCTGACTCAATAAGTCTCGTGTGGGGATCCAAGAATGTGCATTATTGATGAGCTTCACAAATGATTTTGATGCAGGCAGTTCATGTACGAGACCTGGAAAGGTGCTACTTAAATATGATAGGGGAGTTATTTCTTTTTTCTTATTTTCAAGGCTCCCCAGTTGATGCCATTGTTCTGGAAGCTCCATTTACCAATATGTGGGATGCAAGTATCAATTATCCCTTGTTAAAGGTGAGTCTTTTACTCATCTACACAAGATGTCAAAGTGTTTCCATACACTTAGGTTTATTACTACATTCCTTTTCTCAACTACTTTGATATGTTTCTAAGTTAATCTAATTTGAGACAGGTTATTAGCTGGTTGCTATTAAAGAAGGGCAAAATGGCTTTTGGATTTGGTAGTTCTTTTATTTTCTTCTAATAGATTGGGTGGCTTATTAAGTGCCAAAGCTTTACCTCTTATCTTTTACAATTTTTAATAGGTAGACTTGATATGTTTACTTGTTATTATTTTCTAAAGTTCAAACAAACCTCTCATACATACTTTTTGGCCCTATGAATATCAGCCGTATCTTTCATGATTTTATGATAAGAAAGTCTCTAGAGAATTCAAGGGAGCTACCAAATGGTTTTACATAGTACCCTAGGTAAAGAAGACAATCTAGAACGATAAAGTATAAAAAATTAGGTGACAAGGTGTAGTTTTTAAAAATCTGCTGTGTAGATTATCCTAATGTTTATTTTTGAAATTAATTAATTATTATTTGGCTTTCTTAATTTCACTTTTAGGTCAGGTTCTTCTAGCAGCAGAGCCCATGGCAGGGATTTGGTGTGTGTGATTTATTGAAAGAGCACTCTTTAGGAAAAATCTGCAAGGTCATGTGAATGAGGGCTGTAGGATAGGGAAGGGGAAAGAGCAGAACAAGATGTGACCTCAAAATAGGATGTGACTTTACCTAGACTCAGGTAAAGTCTAGCTTTGGCCTTATCCATGTGGGACTCTTCTATCTGTGTTAGCAGTTCTGAGTTCTTTTGTCTCTACTTTCTTGCTTTCTTCTGACGTGGCAGCTGTGTGTCTGAAGGAGAAGAGTGGTGTTGACTGTCAGTCTTACCTCTCTGAGCTTCCCTTCTCTCTGGAATCTGGATCACTCAAGACCTCAGTGCCTTGGTAGGTCACTGACACCTTCACAAAAAAGTTTTTTAAAATATCTTTTCCAGCTTTTCTAGCTGTCTTTGGCAAAAGATTTGTTCTGTAACTATTCTTGTATTATTAGAAATGGGAATCTCTCATTATTTTGAAGTTTGATATTTAATTTTAAAATGTCATAAAATCTTAGCTTAATAGGCTCTTCAATGGCCTATAAGTGTAGTGGTCTGGCAGTAATATGCCATCTTTAAGTACCATGCCTCTGGTGTCAGGTTTCCTGGGTTTGATTTCCAGGGCTGTCATGTAACAGCTGTGTAACCTTGGGCTAACTGCTTTTAATGGTTTGACTGCCTCATCTGTAAAATGGGATATTAATAGTCTATTTAATAGAGTTGTGATAATTAAATGAACTAATATATGAAAAGCATTTGTAATAGTGGCCAGCACAAAGTACTCAATGGCCCTTAGCTATTTTTATTATCAGTGTAGTGCCATAACTCTGAACATTACTGTTGAATAAGAAGGTGTATGTTGTGTGAGACATAGATGTAGTAAAAGGCATAGGTCCTTACCCTCAAGAAGCTTCCTGTCTAGTTGGGGAGTAGAAAATTCATGGGGGATATAAAGTAATGATAGAGATTTCCATGTGTCACTTTGGAATCGATTTCATTACTCAGAATAGGAAGGCAGTGTAACATAGAGGAAAAGAGCTTTGGCTATGGCACCAGAAAGATCTGAATTCAAACTTGGCCTCTGACACTAACCAGTTATGACCCACATAAGTTATTTTTCTTCTCTGAGTTTTCCCATTTTTATATAATGGGATTGATGCTGCCCGCTGCATAGGGTTGTTACAAAGATTAAATTAAGTAAAATAATCTATGCAAAGTAGCCAGCTGCTAGTAGGCACTCAGCAAATGCATGTTCTCTTTCCCCAGTCTTTGTATTACAAAATGGACTTAGGTAAGTGTTAGGGGAGGACGCAGCATGATAATTTCGGGGTAGGGATAATTCCAGGAAGAGAAGAGCCTTGTGTGCAGGTGTGGTTGATGAAGACTTAGAGATTGATAGGACCTAAGCTTCTTTCTTGAAGGTGAGGGAGAGCAGTTAGGTAACATTGAGAGGAAGGGAGAATGTGAATCAAGGCACATGGCCAGAATGGGGCAATTATGTGTTATATAAGATACTTAAGAGTCATATAGGCCTTCCATATAAGATGTTTCACACTCGTTACCCTATCACATCCTCACAGCGACTGTGAGTTTGGCCTCATTGCCTCCACTTAGAGCTGAGGGAAATACAGGCGTGGAGGCTTAGAGGCTTGCTCAGTTGCTATAGACCCTATAAGAGAGGGAACTGGGACTCAGCACTACATTTTCTAACCCCAGGCAGACAGATTAGAGGTACACAGCCTTTAGGATGAGATTGTGGCCAGATGTGGATGGGCCTGCAGCCAAGCTAGGAAGTTTATTTATTTTTTTAGGGTAGATAGCATGGTACCCCCAAAGCTCTGTAACAGCAGATTTCAGGTAACTGGTATTTTAAGAATATTTATGTGGTGGTATTCCAGAACAGAAAGGAGGAGGGGAGACCCAATTAGGAGCCTGTCACTGTGGTCTGGGCTGGAGGGGATGGTATGACCTCTGCGTCTCAAGGGGCACCCTGGCTGATGAGGAGTGAGGAATACGGGAGTAGATTGACTCGGGCTGGCTTTCTTCTTACTCCTTTGGAATTTGAGATGAATTGCTGAAGGGCTTCTCTTATTGAATTTCCCTCAGAGGAGTCCTGATTCCCGAGGCAGTGGAATCAGAAGACAAAGAAAAAAGAAAACCAAACAAGAAATTTTGCCCTTAGAATGGGTAAAAGGAGGAAAAAAAAGGAAGAAAGGGAAGGAGAGGCAGTATTGGGATCTCCAGACTGCACCTGAATTCAAATCATTTGCTATGAGACCAGGCGAAAAACACAGAGCAGACAAACCCCTGAAAGCACGGAGGTTCCTGCAAACAGTAGGCCAGTGCCAACACTGAAGCAGAAGTGTGTCCTTACTGGCCCCAGCCTACAGATTCTGTACCCATTTTCCTAACGATTTCCCTACAGTGACATGAATTCCTTTTCAAAATCAGAAAAAGGCTTTTTTTTTTTAAGTTTATTATATTTAGAAAGTTACTATTCTCTATATTACTATAGTTCATAGGGGGAGACTACAACAAATGACATATCATAGCAACTAACTCTAATGTCTCCATACTCATAAAGGAGCCGTGATATGCATACCCTAAAAATTGCCTCTACAGTGAACATAATTCTATTTAAAACTGAAGCTGAAGTTTCCTGGCTGCAGCCTACCAATTCTGTACCCTTTCCTTCCCTAGGCAATGTCTCCTTTACTACATTTAACCCACTTCCTCCTCATCCCCCAACCCCCGTCCCCTCTCAGGCGCAACAGAGGAACACATGCAATGCTTTGCTGGTCCTTCCCCGTTGCAAATCTGGTCCAAGGAATAAAATGTGAATGCAATTCAGTCGCACTGAGATAAAAATGACTGATAATAGCTTATAGTGAACACCTGGGATATTCACATAATAGATTCACTCTATGCTTAGCAAATATGTATTGAGCGTTCATGAGGTACCAGGAACTTTCCTAGGTTCAGGAAATACCACAGGGAATAAGAAAGTTGTGGTCTGTCCTCCTGTGAAGTTTATATACTTGCTGGAGAGACAGCCAGAAGACAAGTACAGAAAGAGGATTTTCAGTAGTAAGAAGTGCTGTGAAATAAAATAATGTGATTGGGAATAACTGGGTGGTGGGGGAGGAGGGTGTGATCACTGGTTAAGGAAAATCTCTTTGAAGGAGTGTCTGAGCTGCGACTTGCGTGATAAGGAGCCAGCTGGCATGGGAATATCAAGGGCAAGGGCCTTGAGGTGGGATCCAGGCCGCCGTGTTCCAGCAGCAGAAGGCAGCACGGCCTGAAGGTGGACAGGGCGGGCCTTAGTGATAGGAGTGGGGCTGGACACAGCGGCAGCAGCCAGACTGTGTCTGGCCTTGAAGGCCAGGGTGACATTTGGGTTCAATCCAGGTGCCTTTGGAGGATGTGAAGGAAGAGTATAGGATGTGACTGGCACGTTAAAACAATCACTAGTTTCCCTATAGCAGGGCAAGGGTGGAAGCAAGGGGCCACCTGGGACTACTGGTGTTATCAAGCAAGAGGTGAAGGGTGGGCTAGGCTGCCTGATGGTGGAAATGGAGAGAAATGAATGGATTTGGGTAGAGTTTGGAGGAAGGACTGAAGTTTGTGAGGTGCAATATTGCTCAGGGTTCCTGTCCTTTCCTCATTTTCAGTTGAAATGCATGTTTTTAGAGCATATAAACCAATTTACCTATTGACTTTAATCAAAATATGGTAAAAGCTAATTTAATTAGCATCCTATTTACTGGAATTTGCCATTAAAGAGGAAATTCAGTATGTTTGGAATAGTAATTGGTATATTTGGAGTCCTGTGGTCATTGTTAAAACCTAAAATGCCTTTTCAAAACATTGTAATATTAAGTTGCATTCAACAGAATTTATAATGT